TTAGTGAATAGCTCTGTAAAGGATGAAATTAACACTAATCTAATGACATTGGAGAAAGACAGTAAGAGATTGTATTAATCCCCTTCAAAACCATAGCATCGTTATAATACCTTGTCTCTTAATAGAACCTCATAATTCTCAAAGTACTTTTACACATATTTCAATTACTGATTTCTTAGAGGTCTGATAGGTCTTCTCGATAAAAGCTGAGAAGCAACAAAAATCTAGATGAGTTTTGTAGCATATATCTTGGGGGCCCACTATGTGTAAAGCACATTGCTAGGTACCAGATATCTACCCATGAATGAGAGAGGCAGAGTTGCTGCTCTCAGAGAAGTGAGATGGAGACAGAATGCTGAGGGAGCCAGGAAGGACTCAGCCTGGGAACCTGCGGGGAAGAGTCCTGAAGAAGCTGACTCTTGGCTCAGCCCTCAAATAGGACTTGGGTGAGAGGAGGAGGGGAGGTTTGGAGCTCTTGTCTGAAATGTTAGTTTCTCATCGACCAAATGACAAACAGAACATCTGTTCCACTGTCTCTGGGGATGCTGAGCGACGTTGGAAAGAGCAGGCAATTCTGCATATTAAATGACAACCCACTAGGCCGCAAGGTAGATGAAAGGATCTGGTTTTATAATCTCATTCTGTCCATGAAGTAACCATATGGTCACCTTGCAGCTAGAATACCATTCTAGAGCTGAACTGCACAGCCAGTGACTGCTTTTGTTCCATGAAATTGAAATTACTTCTCCTTTGTGATTGATCAAAAATACAATGCTAACTTTTTATAAGTTGGGGAGGGCAGAATGTATAAAGACGGACAGAGAAATAAACACACAGTAATGCTACAGTCCAGAAAACATCACCATTTGCATCTTGCAACATGTCTATTCAGCATTTGTCTCTGAAACAGGCATTCGTTTACACTGATAAGTGGGATCCTTTTGGGACACAGCCCTTCATTAGGTGAGGAGAGGCAGGAAGGGTAGGTTCAAGCGAGGCCCAGTGGCCTCCCATAAATACAGCTTAAGACTAATAGGGAGTGTTGGTTGACTTTCAGTTTTCAGGGATACTCCATTTTGTGAAAAGTTGTAGCCTCCTAGAAAATCTGAGTTGAGGGTGAATATATTATTATTATTCACTCCACTGACTAGTGAGGCAGGTGTGTTTTCCTATCCTTGCCTTACAGAAGAGTAAATTGCATAGCAGAGAACAGCAACTTAACAACAGGTGGGTTGACACATCCGTGCAGGCCAGGTACTTTCTGTGAGGTTCCGCTTACCGGGCCTCACTGCCTGGAGTCCAGGGTAGCAGCCAAGGTCAGGATCGATATGGTTTAATGAAACAGAACTACACAGCGTGCTTTAATTACAGCCCACTGAGATTCTGTGAGGAGAGTGGGTGCCGTTGACCGTATGGCCGCTGTTCTCTTGGCCACTGTGGCCAGCCCAGGAGTTGGATGTGGAGGCCGCGCTGAGCAACACGTCCTCCGATCAACAGGAGGAGAAGAGGTCCAGAAAGGCTTGGAGCTAGAATAGGGCCAGCTGGAGAGGAAAGCCCCAGTCTCAGTGTGAATAAGAAAATGCTTGGAAATGTCTAGAATTTGAAGGTTTATTTATGTATTTATTCACCAATGCTTTTGTGAGAATGTATTATTTTGGAGGATCTCCAAAAAATATTGATTCATGTCTGCATCAAAGAAGGGGAGCATTAAGGGCATATGTGTGGATGAGAAGTCAAGAGGAAGAAGAAATGATGTCCCCAGGCCAAGGCAATGGTGTGTGTGTGTGTGTGTGTGTGTGTGTGTGTGTATCTATATGTATGTGATTAATTCTCCCTCTTTAGATTTCTAGGGTCAAGAGACTTCAGATTATAGCTCATTTCCAGATAAATATTGTGTAGTAAAATTAACATGCAAAAATAATGGTATCTCCTGTGGATCTCCTTAGGACTGTATAGCTGCACGTCGGGCTTTTCAGATGCACTTGGAGAGGCCTGTCTCCCGAAAAAACTTCCTTAAACCCACGCGTTATTTTACACCTATCATCATACTGTTTCTATTGCCTGAAATATCACTTTCTCGTCCTCACTCCTCACCACCTTCTATGAAATTCCCTGTCCTCAACTTATCAAACTGTGCTGTAATGTTTCATTTGCTTGTATATAATAATCACTTAATAATTTATTGATTTGGTAACTGAACAAATGAATAAATGAATGAATGAGAGCTGAGCATAAGTCTCAGCTATTTTATGATATTTTCCTATCACTGACCTATATTAAAATCCATCCTACCTGAGGGACTTCATGTTGAGGTTTAGATGCCAAATGTCCCCACGAAGTCTCATGTGTGGAAGATGACAGGATCACACGGGTGCTGTGCTCATCGGTGGATTCATCCATTGCTGACTTCATAGCTGATGCTGTTAGGAGATTGGGCCTTGTTGGAAGGCATGACCTGGGAGGGCATGTGCTTGTCCTCAGCTCCTCCCTTCTCTCTCCACTTCCTGGCTGCCATGGGGTGAGTAGCTTTCTACTGCCATGCACCTCTGCCATGCCATTTCTGCCTTGGAGCCAGACAACCATGGCTTGAATCCACTGGAAACTGTGAGACAAATAAACCTCTCCTTTTTCAAGTTGCAGGTTTTGCATATTTTGCCCCAGTGATAAAAAAT